CAGCGAAGGCTACACGACTGGACTTGCCTTCCCCAGTGTTTGCAATGATCGAAGCAAATCATGACTAAACTACTAAATGTGTTCTATCTCCTACTGAAGTTCGAGATCGTTACAAGTCCTTTAAGGAGCTTGCACAATCGTAAGGTGGAACACTCACAAAAATAGGTTTCGACTGCCCTCTAGTCGGCAATAGGAGCGCTTTCAAAGTGTGCGACCGGAGAACACGCTCGACCCCAGGCAAACAGCGCCGAACTTTATTTTTTCCTAGAGAGCACTGAATTTTGTTCATATGGAGTACCCAGAAGTTGATAGCTAGTGCAACAAATCGCCGAAATCCTCCGTCTCTATCGTTCTGAATACTCTTTATCCAACAGTTCCTGCTGTGGCGTCATGATTTTTTTGACGTGGTGCTCTTCCGCAATTTTTTTAAAATTGAAATTAAGGCCTGCATGTAGAATGGAGTTATGAGAAACTATGCTGAGACTTTTTCCACTAGTTCTACTTCTGCTTCGAACGTCACTCGGTGGGGCAGGCACTGCTCCACTCCGGAGCTCGAAGAATTCACTACGAAGGCTCAAAGGAACTACTCTTTATGAAGACGATCCGTGTGTGGATGCGCAAGAGGTAAGCGTGTGCTATAAGTGATCTATGAACATATGTAGGATCAGCCTTTTTCTAACTGGAGAATTAGCGTGTCAAATTCCGCTATTTTTGATCACAGACTGATGATTTTGGGATTGAAGCTTTCTCCAGTTATGTTGCTTTAAAGAAGTGTATGCTTAGCGAAGCATCCAGAGGAGACCACGACGAAGCTGGTGAATCAAACTACTTCGAAGAACTTCGCAATAATTTCAGAAGGCGTTTTCATAAACGCAATGGTGGGAGCAATGCATTTCGTCCTGCCTTTACTCACCTACAATCCCACTTGTGTTGGTCAGCTTTCTACAGTGGCAGACTGTGAGAATGTAGTATGGAACAGCATTTAAATTATTGGGTTGGCACATAAGTACTTTCGCCATTACTTTCTCCAATTATACCCTTTACTCTTGTTTGAATTTCTCTTGTTCTTTTTAGCGAAGCCCTGCGGTAGCCGAAATGAAGGCGAATAGGTTGAACGAATAGTCAGTTTTGCGCACTTTTCTTCTTCGTTTTCCCATTAGGGCATGTTTTCTTATTGCCAAAGGAAGGCGCTCACAAAGTGTGTATGAAAGGCAAGTACGATACGCTAAGCACGGTTAATCTCCGAGGAGCAGTGATCCCCTCTACGTAATGTTTCGACTGAATCGCCGACTTCAGAGGCCAACCCTCCCATGTTTAAAGAAAAACTCCACATCCACCTCCGAGGACGGTCTTGGCCATGTGCGAGCTGAATGGGTTCGCATCAGAGTGCTACAGTCGTCATCCGGGCACTTGATTAGGGCGGCAAGGGTCGCGACGCGGCTGCAGCGTGTCACGACCGCGGCGATCAGCTGTTTCCAGCCTAATTTAGCCATTTTCTCCCTAATTTCCAGTGTATTTTCTGTTTTTTTCAAGGTAATCGTTTAATTGCCTTTGGGGAGTATTAAGATGTGGCTTTTTTGTTTTGCAATAGAGTGATTTTTTTCAGGTGTTTGTTCAATTGTCTGCTTAACTGTTTAATTGTACGCAAAAATCAGAGGAATCTCAATCATAATTTACCTTGTGAAGACAAGGAACAACTAATCTTGAGAAAAGCAGCCAAAACAGTGTAAATTAGGGAGAAAATGGCTAAAATAGGCTGGAAACAGCTGATCGCCGCGCTCGTGACACGCCGCAGCCGCGTCGCGACCCTTGGCCGCCCAAATCAAGTGCTCGGATGATGACTATACGTTCTAGTGCATGGGAGCGCGACTGTGGGTCAGTGATACTAGTGCCGTACGGGAGTCGCTTCTATACTCCACCTGCGCCATCCTCAATGTGAGGCACTTTTGACGATACCGAGCTCCCACAGCGAATACAAGGAGATAGAGAACAACAAGAAGTGAGAAGGCGCACACAGGTACTAGAGCGCTTTCTATGGTTGGGTGCGTGGCTGCTTCTATAAATTGGCACAGTTATTTTTGCAACAAGCTCGTGTAACGACGGATTTTCTCCTTTTAAATCGTCGGCCTCTCAAAAAGAGAGGAAGCTTCAGTCGAAACTTGAGCAATTAAAACAAATGTTCTACCTAGCAACCTCGCATGGCGCAAAACAAGTTAAACTCTTACGTCTAATCTACCAAAGTTGCAAAAAGATAGAAGCTGGAGAATTGGCGTTGAGACGGTTACCTGGCTTGTTCCTGCCTCCTCGCTCCTCGGTTTGATCTGATAATAGAGAGCCTTTTCTTCACGAAAAGTTTGAACAATGCGATGTTCACAATCGTCTTAGAAAAAAACCTTGTGCGAGCGCTCCATGCTGTTTATCCAGCTTTTCTCTTATCGGTGCGCTACCTCCTTCTTGAACTTCGCTTCCCACATCCTGAAATAAGAATGAGATATGCTTCCAAACGAAACTTCAGATTAAAGATGTCGCATCAGTGAATTTTCCTCCGAGTTATGCTGCCGTGACTCGCCCTTGGCTACGAAGCGATGTCCCGGTCAAGGTAAACTCCAGTTTTTCTTTAAATGCTGGGCTCTTTGGAACGGCGATTTTCCTCGATTTTCTAGGTGTACACGAGCTATGGTTTGTTACATCAGTGGAAATGGGTCAAAAACCTACCAGTCAGAGGACTAGAAAATAACATTACGGTAGGTTAGGTTAAGTTTTGGATGCGATCGCTGACTTGTGACACCTCTCCCTTCAACCTATTTACATGACACAAAACATGGCCTGGCATTTGTCAAACTTTCCCAGGTAATCCTGTGCCATTTCAGGTTGACCAGGTGATTCGATTCTTGGATCACCACAATTGCTTATTTCTGGCCACTGGCGATGTCGTCTGGAAATCGCTCCTCATGGCTCGACCAGTCCTAATAGAAGGCGAAATTAGTTGTTCAATTTCAAATGTTGGTGCGAAGATAATATTTTTTTGTCGGTGAGGAGTAATGTATGTAGGAGCCCACAAGAGGGAAGTTGACCATAGGAGATATGAGGAGATGAACTTCTTTTACAAAGGAGCAGAAGACTGAGGAACTGTAAAAATAGAGGGAAGCTGAGGGCGTAGGCTGATTGCTGCGGGTTTCCTCTTCAGGATTTATAACACCCTAATTATAAAGATAAGAAAGACCCACTATGCATTTCAGCGTCTGATACGGACTTAACAGGAGCAGGACTTCGGCCTACAAGAAGGAAGTGGAGAGGCTACTGGTACTGGGAGAGAGAGAGCGATTCGCCCGTTCGGAAAGAGATAGCTGCCACGTCAGTGAGGCCTGCCTGGAATCATCGAAAAATCCTCAGAAGCAGATTGCGGCAAATTCCTTCACCATTCAAAAGATCAAAGACACTTCCCGGGATGAGTTTGAGAGGGTGCACTTTATGCTTTTGTTAAACCAGAAGTCCCAGCAAAACCTATCCTGTATTGAAAAGTGCCAGCTCTGTTGTTTTTTGTTTTGGTGCTTTTGTTGACGCGCTTTTCGGTCAGATTTCAGTTCTTGTTATTTCCCCATCTTAGCAGTGGTTTCGTGCGTTGTTGTTCGGGTACGAAGGCGCTTCTGATTGTATCGCCATAGCAACACAACTCGACTTCTCCCGGAAAATATTTTTCAGCTATACTCGAAATGCGTGAAGAAGTATGGGAAAGAAGCATGTGGATTATTTCCCGTGGAGGGGAAGAGTGGCCATTATCGCCTGGAAATCGGCGATCTTAAGTCGAACCGGTATACATTAATATATATTTAGTAGGATAAGAGCCCGCAACCGAAGCATAACTTCATAACTAAATTGTTCGAAGAATTGTGAGTCAGTATTCAGATCGCTGAACTCCGAATGGTCCTACCCTTTGGTACTCTACGAATGGGGATCCACACTTGGATTATCTACAACTCAATGGTCATTTACTTTGACAACGATGGCTATTTACGATGACGGTGCTGATCACGTTGTAGGTATCCCTTTTCAACTATCTCATCATTGGTAGTCTCACTGGAGCTAGAGCAGCGTAGCGCGGCAAGTTACCCGTTCCACTGGGTTAAGTCCTGAATCGGCTCCTGCGCAGCTGCCAAGCCTTCTTCCCTCCAAGAGCAGTAATCTAGTGCTAGATTGGTCTGGAAAATAAAAACACCAGCTTGATCACCGGCTGCCCTCCCCCCCCCAAGTCTTTTTATAGGTCACGTCGCATCCAGTGAACCATTCCGAATTGAAGTAGAATGCGTGCCACACCTTAAGAAGGGATTGATCAGCGGCGAAAGCTTTTTTCATAATTTCACTCTGATCGCGATGATCTTAAGACTTAACTGTGGACAGTTTCTGCTTATGAAAGCAGTGGTGGTAGAGCTATGGACAGCGTTGTAAGGGTTTTTTTGGATCTACTACGCAATCAAATTTCATCGAAAAAGAAAGCGAGGACAACGGGCCAGCGCTAACGAAGATCCGAAGCAAACACGACATTCAAACAATAGGCTACCGCTCACGCCAGGAGACTCATATCAACCTTTGCCAGCCTTGCTACAGTCTTGTTCGCTTTTGATGATGGGCAGTGCCACGGGGGTTGGATCTGACGTATCACCAGCCCACTTTTTTTTCTCTGAGCAGGCGACAAGACTGTGTCATATCGTTCATATCAGTCGTTCTCCATCAGTTGTTGTCACTTACCCATTTCAACAACTGAAGGAGAATGGGTTTGACGGGGTGCCAAACACAGCCGCGCCAAGCCAAGGACAAGCCCCATGATCCGCGCCGAATGAGGTTGTACGCGCATTTAGCTTGGGAAAGTGGTGCACCCTAGATGGCTGTGGATCCGCTCGCCTTCCACCCGATGAGGATTGCAACTATCAGATAACGGCGGCTTGAAAAGACATGCAGGGCGACATAGTCCGATTTGCAAACCGGGTTCTAAACTGTACTGCGAAGGTGCTGTGCACCTTCAATTTGATTTCCTTTCTGAGTTTTTATTTTCGGTAAAACATAAAATTGGATTCCAGTATCTCGTGGATATGACTGGTCGTGGATTCGTAGACACATGTGGGGAACGCCTGGCCGCTCCTGTCGAGAAAGTAAGGTGGAAAGAATGGTCCGAGGACAATCCATCAAAGCTTTATC